GGCCTACTGTTGTGTCAAGGTAAGAAATTCCCTGTACCAGCACTGGGGAGGCAGAGGCAGGCGGATCTCTGTGAATTTGAGACCAGCCTGGTCTACAAGAGCTAGTTCCAGGACAGCCTCCAAAACCACAGAGAAACCCTGTCTCAAACAAAAACAAAACAAAACAAAAAAACAAAAACAAAAACAAAAAAAAAAAAAACCATGAAATTCCCTGTACCATGGCCATGCAGTCATGGTACAGGAAAAAAGTGACATGTACAGAGGCAAAAAGAGATAGGCAGGCCTGGGCTGGAAGCTGCACAAGTCCGAATCCAGACAAATATATTCTTTTTTTTTTTTGACAAATACATTCTTATCAATTATCTCAAATATTTTTGTTGTAGGTACACAGACTAACACAGGTAACAATACACAGCCACAGATAACTGATGTCCTTACAGCTAAGACATAGGCTCCTTCTATTGATGCTAGGCCAAGGTCAGTGGACGAGGAAGAGCTGGCCACCAACCACAGGCCCACTTGAGCTGATTCACATTTCCTTTTTTTACTAAATATTTTCATTTATTTACATACCAACCACAGTTTCCCCTCCCCCATCTCTCGCCCACCACCTCCCATCTACTCCACCATTCAGAAAGGAGCAGGCCTTCAATGGGAGTCAACAAAGCCTGGAATATCAAGTTGAGGCTGGACCAAGCTCCTCCCCCTGCATCAAGGCTGGAGGAAGCATGGAGAATGGGTCTCTTAATGCAATCCGTGGAGTTCCCAGTACAATACTATTCAATGCCCCCTTCTCTCTTTCCCCACGCTGGAGGATGATACCATAAACAGGAACATGGTGGACCAGGGAGGTGACCACACACACACAAGGACCTAAGTGTGAACCCTTAGGACCCACATGAAGCCAAGCTCCATATTGTGGGCCTATATCACCAGTCCTATAATGACAACGTTCCTAGGACAAAATGGAAGGCAGACAGAAGCATCTCGTGGGTCACCCTGACATATGCCAGAGCAAATAAGAAACTCTGACTCAAACAAAGGTGGAAGGTGAGACAGACCGGAAGCTGTCCTCTGGTGAGCATGCCTACACTAACACACACACCTCACAAACAAGCATTCATACCCACACAGAGTGCACACACCACATACATGCCCCACACACACACACCACATATACACACACACCACATACACACACAGGCCATATACACCACATATCACACACACACACACACACACACACACACACACACGCCACATACACACATATACACTACACACACGCCACAGACACCACATACCACATACACACACACATGCCACACACATCACACACCCCACACACACACCATACACCACATACACACACCACACACACACACACACACCATACCACATTGGGGGGCGGGGAACAGGGAAGACTAAGAGGGGAAAAACACATGAGCACATCTTCCCAAACAGCAAAGCAAACTTCTCCCTGTGTGCAATGGCCCCTGGCAAGCATTGGAGGTTCGAGGCCAGAACCTACTCTCCATGGCAACTAGCCAAGACCTGGAAGTTCAGTTTCTCTGTAGCCCAGTTTCTGTGCACACAGGACATTCGGGGCCTAGGAGGACAGAGGGTTGTGCATGAATTCCAACACTGTGACCCTCACTTTAGGAAGAGGAAATCCCTACACTCATAATAAGTCCTTCATTTAAAAATATGCAACAAATTTCTCAATTGTACTTAGAGGCCAAGTGGTGATCACATCCAAGTATCTGTAGAATAGGAGACATGAGCCTCTTGCATGAGGGTTGGGCACCCAGGCTGGTGGACTTGGCTGTGCTGTTATTTCCTGAGATTTCAGCATACAGGTGCACTTTAAGCTTAACAGACATAATTTGGCCCAGGTGTCTGTCGTCAAACCACCCGCCCTTCCATGACGACTAAAATGGTACAAATATGTATCTTCCATTCTGCTGTTACAGCAGTAAGCCTGACTTGGATGCTAGGGTGCAAAGGAAAGAATTAAGAAAGGGATTTCTGGGGGGATTTCACTACCCTTTAGTGAGGAACCAAACAACCAGAGTCCAAACTTATGCAATAAATATTTAAATGCTGCACAGTAAATCCTGAGATCCTTCCGAACACTTCAGCAGCCAATGCGTGTTCAGCCACATCCCCTAATCTCACACAAGATCCTCAGCTGCCTGTGGCTCAGGCTGAAGGCGTTAAGGGCAACTTCAAAAGCCTCTACAGCAGCACAGCGGTTCCCAATCTTCCTAACGCTGGGACCCTTTAATACAATTCATCATGTGGTGACCCCCAATCATAAAATTTTTAGTTGCTGCTTCATAACTGTAAATATTACTGTTACAGACCTTAATTGTCTGCCATGCAAGATATCTGATGTGACCCCTGTGAAAGGGCTATTGGATCCCCAATGGGGTCCGGGCCCACAGGTTGCTTTAGAACCGGCTGCTTTAGAGGCTCCTGGAAGCTGGTGCTAAGCAGAGGTACTCCCCAGCTGTCACCGGCTTTGGGCCTGCCTAAGGTTTTCATTGGGACAAAAGATCAACCGGTAGATCAGGCTGGGACAGAGCTCCTGCCTCGGGACCTTTTTCCTTTCCCGGTCTCTGCCTAACAACCTGCTGGCAAATGACCAGCAAATGGAGAATCTCAGTGCTCAGTGTCTCAACCCATCACCGCCCTCAGCCAGCTCTGGGCTTAGATGGGAGCAGGTGGAAAGGCCTTCCAGAGAAAGTACCCTTAAGACAGAAACCTGCAGGTGGTGAGTCATGTGACCATTAGAGGGCACATGAATCTCTACAGACCAGATGGGTCACTGGCAAGCTGACAGAATTCCCCATATTCCTCAGTCAGCTAGGGATGGCTGGGTAATCTTCACCCGGCCTGAGTGGCCTTTCTAGCCTTGGCTCTCACAGCCCCTCCTCTCCACTCCAGACCATGACCAAACCATAGTGTAACGGCCCCCACCCCTGACTCCATCTGCCTGATCAGAATGTCTTCTGCCACCTGACCCCCGAAATCTCTTGCTTTCTCCTTAATAGCTAAGAGTAAGAATGTAGTCTGTTGCTTTCTCCCCTCAGAGCACACAGAACATGAGCCTGGGCCTCTGTCCTGGAGATAAAAAGCCCAGGGCCCTTTCATCAGGTCCCCAAGGGCATCTGATGGGTACAAAGACTCAGAGCACCACAAAGACGTCTCAGCCTATAGTTCATAACTGAGGGAAGAGAAACTGAGCAAGAGAAAGTTTTCCCTGGCACAGGAGCCACAAGGCTGGACAACATTCTCTTCAGAACCAGACACAAATGAAGGAGTCATGAGAAAGAAGGTAAAATGAGGGCCCTATGTGCCGGACTTCAGCTAGCTAGGGACAGAACCATACTTCAGGCTTGAAAACCATGTAGAAGGGACTGTCACTGAAGGTGTGCCAAGCCAGAGGAAAACAGGAACTGCTTGGGGAGGTGGGGGGGGGGGGACCAGGGCCTCTCCTACCTGGCCCTTTCCAACCTCTGGGTAGGGGAGGGCCTCTACAGGGGTCCTGAAATTGGATCTTTCCTGCTCAAGTCTCCCGTGCATGGTTTAACTTCTCAGCTTTCCTCACGCTTTCAAACTTTTGAGTATTGTTTGTCTGTCCACCCCCCTACAGAAATCATAATAAACCTGAGGAGACCAGTGGCCACTCATAGGTGATAGCTTCCCCAAACACAGAGACCCTTTGTCCTGGCGATCCTTTCAAGCACGGTTTGCTTGCTCAGGAAGAAGAGGTTTCTACTGGGAACGCCTGACCCGGAAAACTAGCTTGGTTAAACTGAAAGTGGAGCAGAGAAATAGCCCCCGAGTCCTCCTACAGCTGGGACAGCCACCACAGGGCACCAGGGTGTGCTGCCTTCATCATGTAGGTCTTTTCCCTGATGTATCACAAGCAGAAACCATTCCTCCAACCAAGTCCCATGCTGTCGGGTTATCGAAAGCAGAAAATGACACACTGGCTTCACATTTTGCCTCAGTCTGACCCAGACTACAGCCGCGGGCAAACCACTGCCTACACACAGCCCCAAAATAAGCCAAAGGCACGGGGTCACCACGTCCTTATACGTCCTTATACTAAAGCGGTTATTTTCTGTCAGCTGCGACTCGGAAGCAGCAGCACAGACGTCCCTAATTTGTGCAAGACTGAGTCTGCAGAAACCACGGGGCCTCCGGGAACATAGAAATCAGGTAAGGTCGTTTGTCCACCCAGCAGAGACTAATGGGGACACAGGCGCAACGGTCACTTTGCTGGTCCGTGTTCGGTGGGAACGGCTCTCCAACTTTTTCTTGTCTCTTTGGAAACTTTCTTGCTTTCTCTGAGCCTGGGCATAATTAATGGAGACTGCCTCCCTACTTCCCTGCCTGCCTAGCTCAGTGTGTGCGCTCCTGTGCTGCGCCGCACCGGGCCTGCCTGAAGGGTGGCTGTGAGGGCTTGTAGGCTTCGACCCGCAGCGGTGACCCGTAGATAAGGCTAGCTGGTCCCCGCGAGGGCCACTAGGAGAAGCAAGGAAGACAGAGCAGTAAGGGAAGGGAACTGTACCTTTCAAACCCTAATTCGGACACCAACGTGTTAGGTAAGGACAGCGGGAGAGGCCTGAGGGGACAAATGAAAAGTGGTCCCCTGCAGGGGAGTAGAGACCGTCACCTATCTGGGGCCTGGGGAAATGTAGCAGTCAGTGAGAAAGGAACCCCCCCTCCCCAGACGTCAACACTTTACTAACGCGGACTTCCTGGGAGAAATAGGGGATCCCCGGAGCGGTAAAGGGACCGGGACGCATTAGGAAGCTGGGTCGGGCCATCTCCCGCCGGCTCCGCACCTGAGCAGAGCAAATGGTGTCCCATCACCGTAAGCCACACGGTAAGGAAAGGGCGCTCTGAGCCGCGGCAGATCCAGAATTGAGGTGGCACGAAGGTCGGGGTGAGGGAGGGGAGCGGAGGAGACCCAAACCCGATCTTACCCGGCCGTTGCGGTCAGTCTCTCGTACCTCCTCGGAACTCAGCCCGCGCCGCACCAGCGCCCGCAGCAGCCCCACGTCGTTGGTGCAGGCGGCGCGCAGGAGGGTCGCCGCCTCGGGGACGCCCTCCGGGACGCTCTCCGCGCTCTCCGCGCCGCACTCCCCTTCGCCTCCGGGAGGGTAGAAGGAATCGTCTGATGCTATGCTGCGGGTGTCCGGCAGACTCGAGAAGTCTTCGTACTCCTCGTAGTCCCCTGGGTCGTCCCCAGTCTGCGCGTCCCGGGGTGGCGTCGGCGACTGCGGGGACGACAAGCAGCGTGTCCCGCCGCCCTCCGGCCCGGGCCCAGCCAGCAGCACCATGCTGGAGGCCTAGGCGCGGGCCGGGGGCTGGGGTGCGGGTTAGGGGACCCGGACTCGGGGAGCGCCCCGAGGTCACCGATTCTTGCCCCTTGCGTTCCCAGAAGAGCCAGGGGCCCCGCGCGCTCCAGCCCGGCGGAAAACGGCGCCAGGCAGCTGCGCTCCCGAAGCAAAGTCACCGACGACTGAAGAAAAGCCCCTGGGGTGGGAGGAGCCGCGGGGGCATTCCCTGCGCTGCCGGGAGGGGTGGTATCTGGGAGGTGGGCGGGGCGCCTTCCCAGCTGGAGTCCCGAGCTCAGCAAGGGTCCTACCGTGACCTCGCCGCTGCCAACCGGCCGCTTCGTCCCGGAGCAAGGAAAGGCACGCGCGGGAGAACCCGAAGCTCTAACTCGAGAGGCTGAAAGCCAACGAGAGGGACAGCGGGGGCCCCGCCCCTCCTAGGGCTGCTCCCTGGGGACCCAGGTGTTGATCGGGTCCCGGGACCAAGGGCTGAGCAGGTTTCTAGCGTCGGAAAGTACCGGCCCCTGGAGACCCGTCCCCTTCCCACTCCCCCCAGTCAACCCCAACCAGCCCCCCAGAAGGGAGGAGGGGCAATTTCTCCTGTCGCCACAGGACCAGCCACCCGAGGGCAGCCTGAGCTCTGGGGCCAGTTGCACTCGGGAGACTGCCCTAACAGGATCTTGGAGCACCTAAGGGCGTCCACTCTGGGGCGGGCGGTGGAGCCATCCACTTTGACGGAAACTCCACCTTGAGGGAACCTGCCCTAGCGATGACCGTGATCCAAATAGGGGCTGGAGGCGGACTTGGGAAGACTAACCCGAAGGGGAGGCGGGGTCCACAGAGTCCCCAAGTCGGGCAGAGCCCGAGTAGGCTGCAGCTTGCTGGTTGGCCCAAAAGAGATCTTGGAGGGATGGAGAGGTGATCGGGAACCTCAGGCAAGGATGTCTGGGTGAGGAGAGACAGCACCCCAGTTGAAAGGGACCCCACTCCCCCCCCACACACACACCTCTGGTCATTGTCACTTGAGGGGGAACTAATGGATCCTGGCAGATGAGAAAAAGAAGGGTTTGTTCCCAGGGCTGCAGCCAAACATTTTGGAAATTGCAACCACTGACCACGGACACCGCCAAGTACCAGCAGCATCTTAGCGCCCGTGTGCATCTGTCCCGGTGGCTGGTTGTTGGGAAACGTGTATAAGGATTTGTCACCTGGAGCCCCGTCACTTGGAGTAGGAGTAAGAGGAGGTGGTGTGGCCCTGTTCTAGGGGACATCCCGGCTGGCTGTGTCTCACAAGACTAAGGCCCTCCCCACCCCACCCCCACATTGCCTCCTCTTCTGCGGATCTTGACAGCGCGCCCACCACGTGCACCACGTGGGAGGCTCAAAGGTGAATAAAACTGAGACACGGAGAACAAGATGAAGGGATCCTGGATACCGGCGAGCGAGTCGAGGGACTTAGTGGGAAACTGCATGCGGTATGCTCTGACTGGCACTGCAGGCTGAGAGACCTTAGACCCTTGAGGTCACCCGCCATGGGCCAGTCACACTGTTGCAGAGGAGCTGGTGTACTGGGGCTTTCTTTCTGAAAACCACCCACCACCCCCAATCAAGGTTCAACTTCTCTGTGTCTGTAGCTGTCCACAGCTGCGTGTATTCCCACTGGGAATTTCCCCTTTCCAGATCGACTTTTGTTACAGGGACTCAGGGGATTTACAGGGGGCAGCTGCCCCCGCCCCTCTGGGTATTACAGTGGCCTTGGTGGTGCTGGCTTTACTCTCCTCCCAGCTTGCCAGAGGGTTGTTTTAAATCCATATTCCATCATCACCACCCAAGTCCACGGGGCCACTTTGCAGGAACAGGGCTGTTTCTAGGGGTGGGGAGAACATGAAAGTATTGCAACCTTGGGGGGGGGGGCTGAACCAGCTGCAACTTTATCATCACTGACAGGGAGGGGACAGTTGGTTTTCCACTTCCTCTTTTCTTTCTCAGAAATTTAGGTCCAAATAGCGCTAGAATCTTTTGTCATTTAAAGATATACTAGAATAGGATTAGGGTATAGCTCAGTGGCGCCTGCCTAGTATGCCTGAGACTATAGGTCTGGTTCCCAGCACTTGAGCGGTGGGAGGAATAAAACAGCTCCAAAGAATGAGCCCTGATTTGTATTTAATTGCTTTCCCCTGTCGTTAAAAGCCTATTCTTGCTCAGCCCGATATTCTCTGTGCCTGTGGTTCCAGTTCTAGGACAGTGAGGAGAGCAGTTTAAGGTCATCCACAGCTATACAACAAATTTGAAGCCAGCCTGGGCTACTTAAGGCTCAGTCTCAAGAAACAGACCTGTGTGTGTGTGTGTGTGTGTGTGTGTGTGTGTGTGTGTGTGAGAGAGAGAGAGAGAGAGAGAGAGAGAGAGAGAGAGAGAGAGATACACACTCCTTTATCACAAGGGCAATAGAGTCTTCATCTTTGAGAAGGTGGAGAAAAGAAACAAAAAATTGAAATGAGGCATATACATATATATAGAGAGAGATTTTATTATTTTTTGCAAAGCCATTATTTATATATCATGTGAACAAAATCTATGTGACAAGGAGGAACAGCTTACCAAAACTTCAGACAGACACAAGCTCATTTTAAAATCAATAACATGCTCGAGAGACGGCTCAGCGCTTAAGAGCACTGGCTGGTGAGATAACTCATTAAGGGCCCTTGTCTCTAAGCCTAACAACCTGAGTTTAATTCCTGGAACACATAGTTGAAAGAGAACACCAACCCCAAAAGTTGTCCTTTGAACCCTGCACAAGCATGGTCATGCACAGAGGACCCAAGTTTGGCTCCCAGCACCAATATCAAGCAGCTCACAACCATCTGTAACTCCCCTTCCAAGGGATCTGACACCCTCTTCTTGCCTCCATGTATTCTGCTTTCATGAGCACAAACTCAAACACACACTTCAAAAATAAAAAGAAATCGTTAGGGCTGAGAGATGGCTCAAGGGCTAAGAGCACTTGAGGCTCTTGCAGAGGGCTGGATTTGGTTCCTAGTGCCCACGTGGTGGCTTCCAGCCATCCTGTAATTTCAGTTCCAGGGAAAACTAGCATGCTATTCTGACCTCCTCAGGCACCAGGCACACACATGCTGCACATACATACATGCAGACAAAACATTCATACAGGTAAAATAAAAGTAAACTGTATTTGCAAATTAAAAATGTCAGTGTGTTTATCCCAGAAGATGACAAGTATGCAAACCCCATGTGCTGTCTTTTCCCCCTTTGTTGTAGGGATAGGAAACCCTAACAGTAGGGCAAACCCAAGCCCATCCCAATGTTCATGAAATAACATACTACCGGTTAGTCATGGTAACACACTGTTGTAATCCCAGCCCAACTGAGGCCAGCTTGGGCTACAGAATGAGACTGTCTCAGAAAATTAGAATGGAAAAACAATGCCGACTTCCCACTGGTGAGGGCTGGCTTTACCAGCCTTTCAAGTTGTGCTCCTGCTGGGTGTTGGTGGCCCATGCCTTTAATCCTAGCACTCTCACTCGAAAGGCAGAGGCAGGAGGATCTCTGTGAGTTCAAGGTCAGCCTGGTCAGGACAGGCTCCAAAGCCACAGAAAAACCCTGTCTCGAAAAAATAAATAGTTTTGCTCCTACTCTGGAATTCAACCTTACTTTCAAGGGTTAACTCTGGCATTATGAGGATTAAAATGTCCATCCTCCTTTGACCTTTAGGTCTTACAACTTGCTGAGGATAGTTTTGAATTCTTTGCCCTTGAGCCAAGGTGGAGTACAGCCATCTTATGGGCTCTGACAATGTTGTCCCATGGAAGGCAGCTTGACTGGGGGTCTAGAGCACATTATGCTATGGGACAGCCTGGCTCCCATGTAGCACCTACCGCTGCTAAGCTGCCATGACAGTAGGTCTGTAATGTGAGTTTGCAGAATTTGTTTGGCTAATTCCCCTATTCATTTTATGTGGGGGGGGGGGCAACAACAATAAAGTCTCAGGTATCTGGGGATGACCTTAAACTCATGACCCTCCTGCCTTCATTTCTGAAGGTCTGGATGTGCAGGCAAACATCACCACACCAACAAATAGCCTACTCTTAACAGTCAAGGTGTTCCTAGCATTCTCCAGATGTTTCTTTTGAAGAACATCCCATCTGAAGTACCTGGAACTCCTTAAACCCCAATCTGCTTGTTTGTTTGTTTAGAACTCATTGCTGTTTTTCTTTTTTCTTTTTAATTAGTTCTTTAAGAATTTTAACCATGGGCTGGACAGTGGTGGCACATGCCTTTAATCCCAGCACTTGGGAGACAGGTGAACTCTGTGAGTTCAAGGCCAGTCTGATCTACAGAGCTAGTTCCAGGATAGGCTTGAAAGCTACACAGAGAAACCCTGAATTTTGACTATGTTCATGCACTCCTCCCAAACCCATGCCCACTTTCCATGCACTCAGCTGTGTGTCTTTTGTTTGTTTTTTTTCCCCTCATCCATCAAACCAATTTGTGCTGCTCTTTTATTCATGGATGTGTGACCTTTCACTGGAGCATGGTTGACTTAGGATGCACTATAGTGTTAAAGAAAACTAAATCAATGACCAGGCAGTGTGGCTCGTGCCTTTAGTCCCAGTCCTCAGGAGGCAGAGGCAGGTGGATGTCTGAGTTTGAGGCTTTCAGAACTGCTGAGTTCTGTATGTGCAGCTGCCCTGCTCTACCTAAAGGACACTATTCCCTTGGATTCACGTTCTGCCTCTGGCTCTTCCTGTCTCTGCTTCCTGTTCCAAAATGATCCCTGAGCCTTGGGGGGCGGGGTGGGGAGGGCCAGGAGGGGCAGTGCAGTAGATGTCCCACTTGAGACTGAGCATTCTGAAGGCTTTCATTCTCCATACCTGTTTGTGGGTTTCTGGGCTGACCTTATCAGCTTCCCTGATGAATGCTGAGAGATACCTTGGTAGATACATATAACAATGTCAGTTTAGTATTATGTCCGATAGCGGAACAACAGTGGGATTTCCCCTCGGGCCTCTGACCTGTCTAGCTACAGATTCTTCACCTAGCTATAGTGCTGGGAACATGTTTCATTTTGTGGACCATGATGTAAATCCACCCAGAAAGTGGTTATGAG